TAGAACCGACAAGATGGTTGTTCGATACAACCTGATCAGATCTTCCGGGTTTTCCATTTTTGTTTCACATACGCAATATGTTTTCCCCACGTGCTTTTGGAATCGAACCAGACACCTAAATACTTAAAAGATATACTTTGAGTGATTGTTCTACCCTTTAGTTGAAGCTGTGACTGTGCAGGATGATGCTTCCTAGAAAAAAAAAACAACCAACTCAGTTTTCTCCGGAGCGAATTCGATACCTAGCTTCATAGCCCAAGTAGACAAATTGTCTAAGGTATCTTGTAATGGTCCTTGCAGGTCCGGTGCACTTGGCCCGGTGACGGAAACAACGTCATCATCTGCAAGCTGCCTTAGCCAGCAATTTTCATCAAGACAACCATCAATGTCTTTTACATAAAAATTATAAAGAAGGCCTCTTAAACATGAGCCCTGGGGGAGACCCATGTAACTAATTCGTGAAGTTGTCGAGTTTCCATGAGAGAAGCTCATATATTTCACAGACAGCAAGTTGCTCAAATAGTTGTTCATAATTGGTGAAAGCCCACTATCGTGGAGTTTATCCGAAAGGACATCGATACAAACAGAATCAAAAGCCCCCTTAATGTCCAAGAAAACTGAACCCATTTGCTGTTTTTGCGCATAGGCCAGTTGAATTTCAGTTGAAAGCAACGCAAGACAGTCGCTCGTTCCCTTACCTCTCCGAAATCCAAATTGCGTATCTGAAAGTAAACCATTCGACTCGACCCATTTGTCTAGACGAAAAAGAATCATTTTCTCCAACAATTTCCGTATACAGGACAGCATCACGATGGGACGGTACGAGTTATAATCCGACGCGGGTTTACTAGGTTTTCGAACGGCGATAACTCTTACTTGCCTCCAGTCATCCGAAACAATGTTGTGCTCCAGAAATTGATTGAATAAGTTCAACAAGCGTCTCGACGTCTGGGAGATTTTTAAGCAAGTTGAACTTGATTCTATCCATTCATGGAGCTGAATTGTTACATGAAAGGAGAGCAAGTGAGAATTCCACCATCGAAAACGGGGAATCTATTTCGTTATTACCCGACGGACGATCACGAACGTTGGTTTGAACCGACACTGAATCCGGGCAAACTTTCCGCGCGAAGCTGAATATCCAACTGTCCGAGTACTCCTTGTCTTCGTTAATCGGTGATGACGCGTTTCTGTTCTCATGGAAGTCTCACGAGACAAACCATCGACCACCATCAACCACAATTATTAATAAAAACAAAAGTTTTTCCGGTGCGGGAAACCACAACTTTTAAATTTCAGATAAAAAAATCAAGGCATATGCGAGGATATTATGTTGGTGAATTACACACAACTGATTGTAAAACATATCTGGTACATCTATATATGCAATTAGATTAACATCACTAGTCAAACTCGCTTCGGTGACCAGTCCTTCAATTTCTACCTCACTACTGGGTATGTAGACGCGGTATTCCAATGAAAAAAGCTCGCACACAACTATTTGGTTAGCCTGCTTCCGGTCATCAAAATATCGGTAACGGCCGAAAAATGTGTTGTTAGATCCTTAGAGATCCTCAGAATGTTCAAAGGTTTTTGTTTGGGCCGGAAAAAAAACAACCCATGGGCCTTTCGAGGCTTCTGGGTAAGCCTTTAGGCGGGGAGCGCAGAGATTTTCGGGGGCAATGGTGGGGGAGAGGGTTGTGGGCAATACCTTTTCTTGAGATATGCTCCAGTATTTTTGCTGGAGAGCGAGTCAACTGGAACGTCAAGGGTTTCCATTTCCACAACTTCCTCGAGACTTTCGTGTGAGGTGGAATTAAGAGTTTCGTGGTCTGAGATAAAAAGCGACCATCCCCCGCTTTTATCATTTTCATCCATTGCGGTTAAATATCGCCGCAATGGTGTTTTTGATAAATATTGTACAAATAATTACAGAAATTTCAAATAGAAAAAAAAAATGCTAAAAAATAAACAAAAATACGAAAAAAGAAAAAAAAACAAGAAAAAGAAAAAAATACAAATATAGGGTTACGGTATGTAATGTGGGTCTAGTCCTTTCATTCGGCCTATCACGCAAATAAATAATTAATTAAGGAATATTACACAAAAAATAAGGAAAATATTGATCACTGATGATTGATAAATGTGTACCACACACAAATCAATTTATATCACAACATTTCAATACATTTTCAGCTCTCGTAAGTAATAAAACTGGTTGAGAATATCACTCTGTTCGGAGTTTTTAGCCGCCATGACTTCTAAGGTTAAGATGGGAAGGTTGCACTGACGATCATCAAATGGCCTGATTATGGCATTTATTGAATGGAATTACCTGATAATACACACTAGACGTAAAACTCACAGTTACTGTTTGAATATTTTATGTTTATTTTAATTGTTTAACAACGTTTTCACAAGTAAATCATGGACCCAACTTTAGGGACACATTTCTTTTCTATGTTCCTAACTTTGGCCCATGAAATTCATTTGACAGCATATAGCAATAAGAGTAACGTCAACAATGTGGTTTGCATTTGGATGATAAGGAACGAACAGGAAGGGAGATTTTTTCTGCCAAATCTGTATAATGAACATCACAATGTTTTGATTTAGATATTCTGCGGTCGAAAGACGATAAGCGAAATTTTTAATTTTTAATTTTTAACTTGAGTGATTTAATGTAGTTTTCGTAAAATTTTCTCTAAGAAATGTTTTGAGGAATGAAGAGTATTAAGTTAACAGTGATAGTGATAAAAAAAAATACATAAGAAAACGTTACCAAGAGCGTTTTTTTTGAGAATCAAACAGGATAGGACGAAGTTGCATCCATAAATAGACCCAATTTGGGGACAATAGACCGATATTACATACATTTCCCTGGTGAGTTTTTGTCTTAAAAAAAGTAAGTTTTTCAACTTTTTGCGGTTCCTGATAGCAAACGACATGATAAGCATATCTAAGCATACCATTTAGCAGTAGAATATCGTTTGCAGGTAAATTAATTGATGAGTTATGATTAAAAACGTAATCTATGGCTGCATATTAGACCGAGGTTAGGGACGTATACCCTACTAAAAAAAATTGATCACCCTAACTATGCTCTACTTAAAAATAGAACGAGAAAAAAATCAAGAAAAAAAATATAGATGTATACTATTTACAAAATTTTGGATCACCCTAATTATGACCCAACCTAATCTAATATTGAACCATGCGGGGAGATGCGATACTGGTGAAAACAAAGCGACACAATATACATATTGCACTGAGGCGGCAGATAAATCGTGCGATGCTATTGTTTGCCCCAATGGCTGTTGGGTCGATAACCTTGTAGCTGGTATGCCTCGGCCGCCTCGGTAAGCAATTTAACGTGCTTTCGTTGTTGCTATGTATGGGATGATGTGATGATGCGATGATGATGATTGAAGCTGGACCGTAATCAAAGCGCTCGGCGTATGATTAACGGCTTTCTCACTCGCGCACTAGTTGTCTTAACACTATGCCAACTAACTTTGGCGAGAAAAAAAGCCTCGCGTGGGGAAAAACTCAAAAACTGTCGTACAATGAGACCGATGTGACTTGACAGGCTCAGCGTGCGAGACGGAATGATTTCTGAATTTTCTTATTTACGTTGGTTTGATGATTATGATATCTCATTAGTCTAATTTATTTAATAATTGAAATCTCTAATTCACCTAATCAATTATAACCAATCCTTTATTAAGTATCTTAACTTGTGCTCGTAATCTTAAACTAAACGTGTTTCAAGTACTTTTGATTTTGACCTATACCTATTTATTATATCTTAGTTTGACCCTGGTGACACCTTCAAGTGACTAAAAGGCTTCATTTTGAAGTTATTTCCCTAGCTGATTTTTAAATTATATAGGGTATATGCTCCAACTATGCTCACACGCTTCCACTATGTCGCACCACAAAAATACGTATAAGTATGTCACAATAGAAGCACGCCACAGTGGAAATCCCGAGCCATAGTTCAAACACTTATCCCAAATCAAAATGAAGCACTTATAAGATTAGTTACAATACCATGTACAAAAATGGTGTTTAACCTTGTTCCCTGAGTAATACCTCAATGAAAACATCAATGAAAACTTGTCACGCAAGTATAAGGAGCACTGTTGGGCACTTTCTGAAATATTTCCCTTGCAAACCCAAATAAATCTATCTGCGTAAAAAATAAGAGTGATTTGCGGCAAAACCCGCCAGTATCGCACCCAATGTCAGTGCCTATACGTAAGCGTACTACGACGTGGCTCGCAAACAAAGGAGTAACAAGTGTGATACAATCACTGCTGGACTAGATATTTGGTTTACTCATGTATTAGTTCATCAGAGAAGGGGAGCTTAGTAATCCCCATCGCCTGCCCATGGCGCCATTCTATCGCGGCATGAGCCAGCAACGCCGGTCATAAACCTACCGTCTCCAACACTCCACTATAAAGCATGAAATTAAGCCCACCCACCAACAGCAAGGTGCAAAAACTAGCCAAGGGGAGGGATAGTTTTCGTAGCTCTTTTCATAACAAAAAATTGAAATGCATTTGCAGGTTCTGAAACGAACAAGAAAGTCATTTACATGAATTATGAAATGAAGAAAATCTTTTAAATTGATTGATGAGCATTTTGGTAGCATAAATGTAAAAAATTTACGATGTTTTTCCTTTTAATTCTACTACTATTTTATTTCTTTCACTTTCACTAATTCATTTTCACTATTCACTTTTACTATCACTTTAAACTATAGACACAGATACGTATTTCGTTTACTACTTGCAAGCTTCTTCAGTGACTATCACTAGACACTTAAGAAATTTGCAAGTAGTAAACAAGAAGATAGAATAGAAGAAAGATAGATGTTGTTGAATGGTTACAATCAATTACAAAAACATAATGAGTAAAAAATGAAATGGATCAATAACATATTTTTTCATTTAGAAACTTGTAAAATTGTGAAAATAATGAAAAACAACACCTTATAGCTCCTTATTACTCACCTTTTCTTCATAAACATCTACGCGATCCATACAATCTTCCGTAGTAACAGATGATTTAATTTGCTCCTCCTGTTGTGATTCAGTGATTTGTTGTAGTAACGATGATTTTTGTAACGATGCAATTTCTCGCTGTAGATCCTAAAAAGACAAAAACAATTTCTTTATTACACAACAATATGTAATCTTATAGCGAATTTGTTTACTATGCGAATCCAACTATTTTCCAGTGAAATAATTGACTCAAGCCAGGTCCAACTAGCCTCCCGATCTCCTCGCCCATATAGTAAAAAAGCTGTACCACCATACTATACCCACCATGGTCCAACCCAGACAGAGTGGCTAGATTATTTTTTTCATTATCGGTAGCTTCTCAAAACTTTTATCGGTAGTTATCGGTAGGTCGTCTTAAAAAGGGTTTCCCGATACTTGAAACCTTTATGAGTGGGGGGGGGAGGACTCTGCTACAGAACAATACACTTTCCTTCAGTTCTTCTGCTTTGAACAGGCCAGTGACAAGGCCTATACCAACAGCAGCGTTTGATAGTACGCAGCATGTCCCGGGCTCAAATCGTTTATTTTGCTGTTTTGGGCCCGCTGCCACTGGGCTGGCTTTAAACGTGTCGAAATGAATATTTCTAATTCTAATGCTAATTCTGACTACACGGAAAACAAAACACAGGTATTGAACATTTTTCAAGATTACTAAAAATCTGTGATTATCGGTAGGAAAAGTGAAAAATCGTCTGTGAATCGGTAGGCATTCCGAAAATCGGTAGGACTACCGATAAATCGGTAGGTCTGGCCACCCTGAACCCAGAGTTGGCAGTAGAAGAGTAACGAAGAGTAAAGCTTACAACACTGATGTCGATGAATAGGATGCTGCACGCTGACGTCACGAATGAACGCGATGAAGCCGAATTCATCAGTTTGACATCCAGTGGTGGTTTGTTTACCTTTCAATTCAAGTGGATTTGAGGTTTAAATAAAAAGAATTAAAAGATATGATATCCGACCGTATCCAACTATGTTCGTTTGAAAAAGATTCCTCTCCAAAAATCTTAAAAAAAAATAATAACTTTTTTAAACTTTTTTTTCTAAGTCCATGTAAACAAACCACTGCCAGATGTCATAAAAGTGAGGTTACTCCGACGATGCAGCTCCCTATAGACATTTTTTTTTCAGCCTTTGTTTTTTGTTCACACCTCGGATGACTTCACCTGGGTTGTGAAAATTTCCTCTAGTTTCGATAACAACACACAATAGAGTCAGTTTGTCTACTATAGACCTTTTTGACGTTTAATCATCTTTCTCTATCTAGCACACATGGATGAATGGACGGTTTGTTTTCCCACTAATCTGTTTCCCTCTTGCTCGCACTCGTGCACTTTAAATGGTGCAGTAGTGTGCGCCGATTAAACGTCAAAAAGCTCTATGCTCGATAGGTACACACTTATAGATAATACCGAACTCGGTATGATTTCAACCGAGTTTTTATCTGCTGAATGCTCGGTAGTCTGTTCGTTGGTTATTTTTTACTCACAATCTGTCAAAATTACCGAAAATCTCGGTTAACGAACAATAAATTTAAGCTGAAATAACCGAACATCGGTTTACTCAAGAATTACCGAACGCTGTCAAACAAACCGACCCAACTGTTGTAATTATGGAATTCGGTTTTTTGAGCAGCGCTCGGTTTTCACTTTAAATCCTGCTTTAAATTTTGATTGAGTAAACGTTGCTTCGAATTTTCATAAAAATAAAACCAATTTTGTCAAGGAAATGTATGAAATATATTTATTTTATTTGTTTTGGGATCCAGTAATGCGCTTTTTTTTTATTGAAAATCATTAAACAAAACATGTTCCGGTAAAAAAAGAACCAGATGCAACGTCAAGTTGGACATTTACCAACATTGATCCCAAACAGACGGCAATTCATGTTTGATACTAAGAAATGATCTAGTCTAGTTGATTTGCATGAAAACTGCAGCTTTACAGCGTTAAAACCATCTAAACTTTTATCATGTACAAAAATCAGGATCGTGTCATCGCTGATTGAAACCAACATCTAAGCAACCTGTTAATTTTACCAGAGAGTTTTTTGAACATTATAATTTATTTTCAAAATGTCAAATATAAGTAAAAATTCAGAAAAATTGATGAATTTTCACTGATTCTTCAAAATTAATATATAATGTTCGAAAATCCCTCTGTTGTTGATCGTCCGATTTTCGAGAAGTTGTTTGTCAAAATTGATTCCTGGTTTGTCTGAAATAAGTCTGGTAAATAGCAGGTTTATTTAAAAAATTTCCATCTGTCAAATTTAGGTTAAAATTCACGAAATGCACAGGGAGTAGGGGAGATGACAGCTGTAGTATACTCCTAGTCCCACCATCGAATGGTATTTGCTAGATAAGATGAAGTTGCGACATAATTAAACAAATAGGCACTGCAAACAACGCTCTTTGAAAACAATTTTATTAATATGTTACTGGAAAAAATGCAAGGATTAAAAAGGAGAACATATTTGGGCAAAAGGAGGAAGTAGAAAAATTATTGAAAAAGGAGGACATGTCCTCCTTTAGGATACCATATGGTAACCCTAGCTGAGGCCTCCATGAACGCTCCTCAGCAAATCAATACCGGGACGTTGGTATCAGTGGGAAAATCATCTTCGGACTGAAAATAATAATTTAAGGTAATTGTATAATACGATAACCTATCCAGTAAACAATAATCTATTAATCTTACATTTGCACACGTCCGACAGGCACACACACTTAATCTAGCTCGGTAAAATCTCCAACAGCCGATTACCTTGGCATTTACTTTTGCTGATATCTCTGCAAAATATGTGTTTGTCAGCGGAGATCTCAGCAAAATTTTATGTGTTTGCTGAGTCTCGGCAATTGTTTTACCATATCTCAGCTAAATAAATTGCAGAACTACTCGGCTGTTGGAATTTCGGCGAAAAAATTTAAGTGTGCACGCGAGAAAAATATCTGACTAGTTCGAGAATCAGCTTAGAGAACCAAGTTTTCGGTTAAAATTTCCGTCGCGAAGTTATTCAGCTGTTTTTCTGGCTGAAAAACTGGGATACCTGGGGTTTTAGATGATCCCGGAAGTGGCGGAAAGTCTTTGTTAAAATTACAAACTTTAAATCCCGGTGGTGGGGGTTTTGCTACATTTCCGCTACCTCTTAAATTTGTCAAGGTAGGTTGATCGTCCGTACGAGAGGCCTTACGAGGTTTTTGGGTGACGTTTGTTTTGGACCGCTTTCTCGTGTTGCCGTTAAAGACAAAAGGACTACTCTCACCCACCTCTGAGTCAGAGCCCTGATCATCATCTGGCAGGAGGTGGAATGTGTTGTTGCTTTTTGGGGTGGTTTGGGAAGATGAAGCGGTCGTTTTCAAAATTTCTGCTAAGGAGCGCTTAGAGCGAGCTTGCAAAGACCGCTTTAGTTTTTCTCCCTGCTGTTTGTACTTCAGGCAATCACTCAGAGCATGCGGAGCATCCTTACAGTAAACGCATTTTGGGGTAGCATGACAAGGACCCTCCGTATGCTCCTCCCCACATTGATCGCACCGCGGTTTGTTGGAACAAAAGTCCGCGGTGTGACCTAGTTGTTTGCATTTCAAGCAATTCATTACCCTCGGTACAAACAGACGTACAGGTAGTCGAACCTTCCCAATTGTGACGTAGTCAGGTAATGGCGATCCTGAAAAGGTCACACGAAACGAATCTGAGAGGGTTTACTTTTTGTTAGTGCCTATGAGCGACACTGACTGCAGTTGAATGCAGTCCAGTATCTTGACTTTCGGGAGGGCACGGTTTTTGAAAATGCCGAAAGATTCGACTTGTAGAAAATCCTCACAAGTCAGACTCGATTCGGTGACCACTCCTTCAATTTCTACGTCACAACTGGGGACGTAGACTCGATATTCGATCGAAAAAAGCTCACAGGCAACAATCCGGTTTGCCTGTTTCAGGTCATTAACGGTAACGCGCAGTTTGTTTGACGTTACCTTAAAGATATCGGTTACGGCCGAAAAATGTTTTGTCAGATCCTTCGAAATCCAAGAAATATTCAAAGGTTTTTGTTTGGGCCGGAAAAAACAACAACTCACGGACCTTTTGAGTCGCTTGGGTAAGCTTTATGGCGGGGGGTCGCAGAAATTTTTAAGGGAACGGTTGGAGTAGGGGGAACAGGTGGACGAGGGGCGATGGTGGAGAAGGGGGGGGGGGCAGGGGGTGAAGGAGGTTGTTGTTTAGACATCACCTTTGGGTAAGCTCCAGTGCTCGTTTTGGGGTCCGAAGTAGAATCCCCTGAGGTATCCATTTCCTCTTCAGTGAGAAGCAGATTTTCGAATGATGGAGATTTAACAGATTCATCATCGGAGATATCTGCTAGGGAAATACCCCCGCCATCATTGGTTTCATCCATTGCGGGGTCTTAAGTATCTCCGCAACAGATTTCGACATAAAAAAGCAAATATATATATATATATATATATTTATATATATATATATTTATATATATATATATTTATATATATATATATTTATAGATATATAGATATAAATATATACAGCAATTCCATAGAAAAAAGTTATAGTGGGTCTCAGAATTTCATGAAAATTGGTATAGTTCTTCCTTATCAAAAAATATTAAACTCGTATTTTTTTATTGCGCCATTAGGGTGACCATTTACGTGTTAGGGTGGTCCAAAAAATCATTTTTTTTCAAAAATGTATTTTTCTTTAAATTTATAACTTTTGAACCTCTTGACCGATTTTTACGATTGACCCTTCAAATGAAAGATGTTTTAATGTAGTTTTAAGAAAAATTATGAAACACTCAGAGATATTTGATTTTGTAGGAAAAAAATATGTTACAAATGCTTTTTCTTGATTTTCACTGCGAGGGTCTTCAACAACTTCTTATTTTAGTATTTTACATAACACATCAAAAAATTAGCGATGTCGGAGAAGCAGTTTTGGAGATACAATTTTTTTAAAATAAAAAATTATTGTTCCGCAATATATGCACCACACGTGCATGGAAACGATGAAGACGCAAGGTAGTTCACAATGCGTCTCCATCGAGTCACAGCAGCTGTGACTAATGAAATCTATGAGTAACTTACAAGCTGGGTGCAACATTCAGTTCAACCTGCGGGCCGTCCATAAACCACGTAGACCAAGTTTTAAACATTGCAGATCCTACCTTTCCCTTCGTATACTCAAATTTTAAAGCGTTTCGTTTCAATACTCCTCCCATAGGGCCTTTTCCATGACAAGTTGCGAAAAAATGCCTCACGGCAGCAATGCCAAGATTTTTTTGCATGTTGCATCAGTACCTAAGAGTCCAAGCTGTACCTCATAGGTATATCACTCGTTCGTAGGCAATGACTTTTACATAAGCTCCAGCCCAATAGGCTTCGCGGTGTTAGTGGCATTTGGAAATGTTTGGTGGTGTTTGTATTTATTCGCAATATTCATCTATTTACCTGAAACAGCTGTTTGAAGTGACGTCATTGCTTACGAACAGGTGATATACCTATGAGTTACAGCTTAGACTCGTAGGTATATCACTCACTCGTAGGTACGATATAATGCTTCACATAAAACAACGAATGTTATGAAAGAAATGATCAGTTAGAAATCAAAGTTTCCTACTAGAACAGTTGAATTGAAGAATATCTAAAAATGAAACGTGTGTTCAATGTGTGATGTTTGGATGTTGAGTTCATGTGCCAGAAAAATCACCAATAAATTGTACGATTATGCAGTGGAAAAAAAGATTAAAATAGATGAGAGTAGCTCCTTCATTTGTCAACGATGCTACCACAAACTATATGAACCCAATGATGCCGTGACCGAAGAAGCCGTTGCAGGACCATCCAGAATCGCTGCTGCAGGTACGTTATTTGAAAATTCATGTGATTCTTCTTTAAATTTCAATTCTTTTCTTCTAACTACTAACTTAAACTCTTCTTTTTTGCAATCATTTTTCAGAGTCCATCGAAGCAACCAGCATTGAATCAATTTCCGTTGCGGGACCGTCCAGAATGGTTCCTTTTCCCTGCCAAGGTAAATAATAAAAAATAAATCATTTGTATGTTTTTTTTTTCTAATAATCAATCATTTTTTATATTTATTTTCAGAATCAGTGGAAACAACCAGTTCTGAATCGATCGTTACCACCTACAACGCACCTTTGTCGGACGAAAATGAATTCCTTATACAACTTAAGGATAAATATAAAGAAACAAGAGACAGCAATGAGCGATACAGGATTTTAACCACACTTCCCAAAAGTTGGTCTACATATAGAATTATGAAGGAGTTCAATGTTTCCCAACATATGGCCAACCAAGCAAAAGCACTGCAGCAAGAGAAAGGAATAATGTCGGTGCCTGTAAAGAGGTTAAGCAGAGCTTCATTAGCAGAACCAACGATAATGCTTGTTCGTGATTTTTACAATAGTGACGATATAAGTCGTGTTTGTCCGGGGAAAAGAGATTATTTAATATCTAAAAATGATGAAGGCGAAATCTACGTACAAAGAAGATTAGTTTTGTGTAACTTGCAGGAGGCGTACTCCATCTTTAAAAATACATATCCTGATATTAAAATAGGATTTTCCATGTTCGCCAGTAACCGTCCGAAACACTGCATTTTGGCAGGGACAAGTGGCACGCATACCGTATGCGTTTGTATATATCATCAGAACGTTAAACTTATTTTTAAAACACTACAAAGCAGACAATCACTCCCAGATGGTGTTGATTCCTATCACGATTTGTTTAAAAAAATAATTTGTCAAAATCCAAGTGAACAATGCTGGCTGCAGTGTTGCAAAAATTGTTCAGGAACGCAAATTTTGGCCACAGAACTAATGACTATTCTTAGTAACGGACATGTTGAATCAATACAATTCAAACAATGGCGTCAAGTAGAGAGATGCATTATGGACTTAGTTGAAATGGATACACAGGAAATTATTGATACTTTTTTAGAAAAATTATTCAATTTATTGCCGCATAACTTTATAGCTGAGCAACAGGCAAATTACATGAAACACGTCAAAAGCAATTTGAAAGCTCCAGAATGCATCATAATCTGTGATTTTTCGGAGAATTATTCTTTCGTTGTGCAGGATGCAGTTCAAGGCTTTCATTGGGCGAACGCCCAATGTACTATTCACCCTTGTGCTATTTATTTTAAAGACGAAGAATCTAACGATTTGAAATTTACTAGTTTTATTGCAATTGCTAATTTCACTAAACATAATCATGTCGCAGTTCGTTTATTTCTTACGCATTGTCTAGCGTTCATAAAATGTAAATTGCCAAGCTTACAACAGATTTACTTTTTCTCAGATGGATCAGGAAGCCAATATAAAAATAAGATGACCGCTTTTAATTTATGCAACATGCAAAAAGATTTTGGCATTGCTGCCGAGTGGAATTTTTTTGCAACTTGTCATGGAAAGGGCCCTTGTGATGCTTTGGGAGGAGTATTAAAACGAAACGCTGCGAAAGCGAGTTTGCAAGGCCACCATATAACAACGGCCCAAGAACTTTACTCATGGGCTATTTCTAAGCCAGATTCAAAAATACACTATCAGTTTTTTTCGGAATCCGATTACAATAAAATGGAAAGAAAATTGAAAAACCGTTATATACATGTGAATCAAATTTCGGGGACACAGTCATTCCATAGTTTTAAGCCTCAAAACGAAAAGTATATTATTGTCAAATGGTATTCATTTTCAACGGAAGAAAAATGTGTGAAATTGTAATTAAAGAAAATAAATGCTTCATGTTTTACTTATTTTTCTTCGACCTCGTCATTATTTGTAGCATTTAAGTACTTCTCCCAGAATTTTGATACCAACATTAATAATGTCAAACTGGGGCCTGTTTTAAAGCCACGAAGACTTCAATGGGGGAGGGGAGTCCAGCCACAGTATACGCTCGGTAAAAATATTTTAAAATTTTAGTAAAGTATACGAGGGGGGAGGTAGGATCTGCAATGTTTAAAAATTGGTCTACGTGGTTTATGGACAGCCTCCAGGCTGAACTGAATGTTGCACCCAGCTTGTAAGTTACTCATAGATTTCATTAGTCACAGCTGCTGTGACTCGATGGAGACGCTTTGTGAACTACCTTGCGTCTTCATCGTTTCCATGCACGTGTGGTGCATATATTGCGGAACAATAATTTTTTATTTAAAAAAAAATTGTATCTCCAAAACTGCTTCTCCGACATCGCTAACTTTTTAATGTGTTATGTAAAATACTAAAATAAGAAGTTGTTGAAGACCCTCGCAGTGAAAATCAAGAAAAAGCATTTGTAACATATTTTTTTCCAACAAAATCAAATATCTCTGAGTGTTTCATAATTTTTCTTAAAACGACATTAAAACATCTTTCATTTGAAGGGTCAATCGTAAAAATCGGTCAAGAGGTTCAGAAGTTATAAATTTAAAAAAAAAGACATTTTTGAAAAAAAAATGATTTTTTGGACCACCCTAACACGGAAATGGTCACCCTAATGGCGCAATAAAAAAATACGAGTCTAATATTTTTTGATAAGGAAGAACTATACCAATTTTCATGAAATTCTGAGACCCACTATAACTTTTTTCTATGGAATTGCTGTATATATATATATATATGCGTTGAGAAAAAAAAATAATAAATAAAAAAAAAATAAGAAAAAAAATAAACTTATCCAAAAAATATTACGGCAAAAATAATACTTAATCCAACAAAGCAAAAAAAACTTTAAAATGGAAAAAAAAAAGTGCCAGGAAAGTTAATCAACACTATAGGGAGATTAATCAACTTGCAAAAAAAAAACAGTAAATGAAAAAAAAAGAAAAAAAAAAGAAAACTTTTTCAGAAAAAAAAAGGTGTCAGAAAAGCTAATCAACACTGTATGGAGATTAATCAGGTTGCGGAGAACGGAAGATAACCGTTTGTTACTTAACTCTCCACACAAGCGCACGGAGTGTGGCTGATGACGATGATCTATCCTGATGTGAGAATGATGGTGATGATCGTTCTATTGTTGCCCTCGAGTGTTTGCAACAAAGCACCGGCTGGCTCGCCGGCTGGTGAACTCGATGACCTTGATTTTGCCGTTTCGTGATGCGATGAAAATTGTTGGCTAGAGATGTACAGCTCATCTGCCGGACTCGGCCGGAAATGACTGCTTCCTTTCTCGAACGATTGAGCGGCAATTACAATTCCGCGATGCTCACTACACTGTTGTATACTACAACACCACTCAGTATGAAAGCGGATTGAAAAAAAACCTCAATAGGGAAAAAAACCAGTACCGATTACGGAGTGCAAGCAATACTTGACCGAAACAGTCGAGCGTTCGATGTGGAATGGACCGATCAAGGTTTGGAATTAAACAGTTGTCTATCGGCTGTCCAACAGTTAGCTATCTCGGAACATGCCACCGAGGCAGACTTGTTCGATTCGGCTATTTATTTGTTCGACGGAGCTGTATTGAGCTGGTATTCGGCCAGACGAAATCAAAATTCTTTATTTGGGTGGGATCACTTGATCCACGAACTCAAGCATGAGTTTCGACATCCCGATCTCGATTCAGTGCTCCGTACTTAAATTTATCAGACTCGCCCGCAGAGAGGCGAGTCATTCCAGCATTATTATATGCAAATGGAGAGGCTATTCTAGGCTATGAACCATCCGATATCAGATGGAGAAAAAGTCGAGATTCTTAAAACAAATTTGCTACGATTGTCGGAAGGCTCTCATAGGCAGACATGTACGGACTTTAAGGGATTTGACCCATATTGGGAAGGAGTTAGATGCTACAGATTTCTCAGCTTTTTAAAAGTTTTCGAACCGAACAAGCGGGAAGCTTGTGCCATCAATGTAGGTACGAGGGGTTTAGGGGATTCGAGTTTACAATCGCGAAATAAATCCCATCACCATTCCAATTCGGCCCAGTATTTAAATTCCCAGAAACCCAACAATAACAATGCAAAGAGAAAACAATTCGCTCCAACCAACCAACCGAACCTCAAAGCTGATCATAAAACATCCCGAAAGGGTGAGCAAAACTGCTCAACGCCTAAGGAACCACAGCCAAGTACCAGTAAGCCCAGTGCATTGTTGAAGATGGTGGCTAATTATTGCCCTCCCCTTAATGATGAATGCTACAATTGTGGAGAAGAACACCACCTGACACAGTGCCAATTCCTTGCAGCGTTTTCTGTGACGGGTGCGCCTTCAAATGGTTCACGACGGATAATTGTCCATATTGTTTAAAAAAAAAACTCGATAAAGAAGTCCTAAAGTCGCAGAAACTTCCCGCAGCGCAAGGTGAGTCAGACTTTTTTACTTGGCTCTTCGAAATCAGTAAATTCTATGACTCAAGATCTAAGGAGGGTGAGGAGGAGACCACTTCTGGCCATGTACATAAAATTACGCTAAATAACGTTTTTGATGATCGACCACATGTGTCAATCAAAATATTTGATGGAGAGGTATCCGTTCTTTTAGATTGTGGAAGCAACCTCACCTTTATCAATAAAACCATGTTCGACAAATTTCGGAGAATTCAAATAAAATCGCCATCTATCCCTATTGAACTACAAACTGCTGATGGTTCCCAACTAGAAGTCAGCGGTGAAGTGCTCATACCGTACACTTTCAACGGAAAGACTCGTGTACTGTCAACTTTGGTCGCTCCAGCCCTAACTAAAGAGTGCATATGTGGGATGGACTTTTGGAAAAGTTTCGGGATCTATCCTGCAATTGCGTCAATCTCCACCCATCCGGCTTATTCTACTCCGGTTTTAGAACCGACGAAAGTAGTTCTCAATGAGAGACAAAACCAGATTCTGGATCAGACCAAACTAATGTTCAAAATAGCTACATCCGAATCGCTGGACACCACCCACCTACATGAACATACAATTACTCTGAAAGAAGAGTTTAAGGACACCAAACCCGTACGATTGTATCCTTATCCAATAGCTCTGAAAATCCAAGAAGGGTTGTTCGCCGAGCTTGACCGGTTGTTAGACCGAGGGATTATGGAAGAGTCCAATTCGGACTGGTCACTCAACATAGTCCCGATCAAAAAACCATCGGGGGCGATTCGACTTTGCCTCGACGCTCGCAAGCTAAACGAGAGAACCGTGCGCGACGCCTACCCTCTTCCGCACCCTGGACGAATACTCGGTCGCCTTCCACGAGCTCGATTTCTCTCTACGATCGATCTCTCAGAGGCGTTCTTACAAATACCGTTAGCACGGAGGTGTCGCAAATATTGTTCGTTCAGTGTACAAGGGAGGGGAATGTTCCAGTTCACCCGGCTTCCATTCGGGTTGATCAACAGTCCAGCGACGTTGGCAAGGTTGATGAACCGAGTGCTAGGATATGGTGTACTGGAACCGAATGTCTTTGTCTACTTAGACGATATCGTCATAGTGACAGAGACATTCGAGGACCATGTACGGTTGCTCAAGGAGGTTGCGCGGCGATTACGCGAGGCAAATTTGTCCATTAAACTCGAAAAATCACACTTTTGCTTGGGCGAAATTCCGTTCCTCGGCTATATTCTTTCTTCTCAAGGATTACGAGCGAATCCCGAGAAAATTCAACCTATAGTCGAATACGAACGGCCTACCACTATCACTAAACTTCGACGGTTTTGGGAATGTCTAATTATTATCGGCGGTTTATGGCCGATTATAGTCAGATTACCTCAGCCCTTTCAGAACTTCTTAAAACGAAGTCTAAAATTTTGAAATGGACCCCTGACGCCGAGGAGGCATTCCAAGCAATAAAAGAGAAGCTGATTACAGCTCCCATTTTGACCAGTCCCGATTTTGATCATGAGTTTTTGGTTCACACGGATGCCAGCGATTATGCCATAGCGGGTGTCCTGACGCAAAAAGTAGATGGTCAGGAAAGGGTTGTGGAATACTATTCAAAAAATTAACCACTCCCGAACGCTCCTACCATGCAACCAAGAAAGAAGGCCTTGCCGCCCTTCTTTCCATAGAACATTTCAGAGGCTATCTCGAATGCAGTCATTTTGTTCTCGTGACCGACGTTCTCGTCAGCTTTGACGTTTATTATGCGGTCAA